ACACACACACACACACACACACTCTCTCACACACACACACACACACACTAGCATGATTAGTAAGTTACTAGCATGTTTTTAGCATGACTAGCATATTGATATCATGTTGCTAACATGATTAGCATGTTTCTAGCATGTTGTTTGCATAATTAGCATGTTATTAGTATGTTGCTCGCATTATTAGCATGCTGCTAGTATGTTTTTAACATGTTTTAACATTTTAAACGAACCAGGTAAAACCACAAAGAAACTGCGACTTTACAGGTACTAAAGAAATGCGGTGGAAATGGCGCTCTAACACAGCCAGAATATACAAAAGACACGTGTTCAAAATTGCCGCCTTAACGCGGGCAAACAGTGTGGGCTTTTGGCCCTGTCCGCCTTCCATAAAACAGTGTGGGCTTTTGGCCCTGTCCGCCTTCCATATTGGACAGGGCTCAAAATTTGCAACGTCATTGATTGACGCGTTCCTGTCGTCGCCGGGTTATGACGTGCTTTGAGATCGCCATCATAAAGTTGCAGCACATTGCTAAAGACAGACACGAGTGACATGAGCTCTTAAGCGACATTATTCATGAGGTTATAACGGCCTGCGACGCGTCTGTGTTGCTCGTATTGTCGTTTAGAGCTGTTAGTGATTTCGCGGCGGTGTGTTTGTGTGCGCTGAAGGTGAGTCGTCGCGTGTTCAATACCACACTTTGTGGCACATGACATTAGGATCACTGTTTACATGCGTGGTTTGTTGAGTTTATGTGGGATTTTAATGCATGTCTTATTAAATGTGAGTGTAGGAAGCGTGTGGTGATGTGTACATACATGTACTGTAAAATTGCCGCGCGTAATCGCTCTGTAAACATTCAAAACACTAATGTACTATATGATTATTTAGTGTTTCTGTACCGGCTTACTGTCCAGACGCTCGCTTTTCATTAGCAGGTGTTTCTGGTGGGTCTTTGATTCTTGTAAACCTGAAGTACAAGCACTTCATTCTAATTCAACTTCAGACACAAAACCACCTAACGTTAATAAATAGCTTATTAATATATTCATAGATTTATTCAGGTTCATCACAGGAATATTAGTGCAATCCCTTGCTTTCTTAAGCTAAGCAAGACTTCCTCCACTCTGCACTTCATTAGTGATGTTATCTAGAGTTATATTCCTGTCAGGACATACATCATGGCCCCTAAAACTGCACAGCAAGCCCCCATGTACATCAGGTGTTGTTCTGTAAGAAGCCCTGAGGTGGTCTTCATGTCTCTCTCTCTCTCTGTGTGTGTGTGTGTGCAGGCCGATGGCATCTGCCGGGGATGGCAGCGTGGACTCTAAAGCGGAGCTGAGCGCTCTGCTGGAGCAGTGGGAGAGAGAACAGCAGGGAGGCACAAGCGAACTGCTCCACATACTGACCAAGTGAGAAATGCTGCACTCACCCCACATTAACACTTACTGTTACTGCACCGTATCACCTGACCCCGCATCAGTTACTGTAGACGACCCTGTGCAGTGTCACCTGACCTCACATCAACAGTTACTGTACAACACTGCGTTAGACTTGCCACCAGACCTTAAATACATATCGCTAAAGGACACCTGGGGCCTGATGTATAAACGCTGCATATGCACAAAATGGGCATGGGAATGTGCATACGCAATTTTCCACGCACATATCGGGATTTATAAAAAACAAACTAGACATACGCACTCTTTTACTGGAGTGAGCGAAATAAGGAAGCAAACAGATTGATTTTTAAGTCTATTTGACATACACGTTTAGATTGAATATGACACTCTGAATAATGAAGTTAAGCACTGAAATTCCATGAAATTATTATCCAGATATTACAGCATTTGTATCTGAATTGAAACAGAAATATTTGCAGTGGACGTGCTGCTTTCGAACAATTTTCCTAATGTTTTAATCACAGTTAGGATTGCTTGGCGTATGACAATTCTGCTTTAAACTGTGTTCTAAATAGCAAAACTCATGTTCTGAGAAAATACTTCTGCACGAATGATAATTGATGTGAACGTGATTCGTCTGATGGCTTTGGAACACAGATGGTAACGGCAGACATAAGGATGCACTCGTTGGTCAAACAGTCCATTGGCTGGGTTGAACAGGTCCGATGACAGTAGAACTGTTCTCAGGTGTCGCGCACAGACAGCAGCCTAATGATAACCCCTTTGGTGCTCTTCCCAATATTGTGACAAACACCATATTTACAAGAGAGAATTTGAAGGAAAATGTTTTGTTGTTGACACGGTGAGTCAGACAGCTACACTGCACAAACATAAGGCCTATCTCTTTCCATTAAAATATAGGCTATAAACATTCTAAAATACGTTTATCTTTTAGGAAAATTGCATAAATTAGAATAGTGATGTCTCAAAACACATTTATAGTCCGAATATCATATTTTCCTAACGTGTTGTAGGCTACCCTTAACTGCGTTAAACATGGTGTCACGTGGATGGGATATGCATGGAAATGATATGCAGATGAAGATATTAAAACTAGGCATTGTAAGCTCCAGAAATGGCTGTTTCGGGGAGGAGACGGGGTGGAGATGCACGTACACACAATCTTCCGCCGACTGGTATTACAAAGGCTATTTTGCGCAGTTTCTGGCGTACGCATGGCTTCATAAATCTGAAAACTTTTGTACGTATGCAAAATCTAGCTTTTGTGCGTACACACACATTTAGGATGAAATCTACGTAAAGTTTTATACATGAGACCCCAGCTGAAGTTCTGCTGTTGCATTCTTATGCATGAGAATTAGGGCTCTCCAGCAATTTCAATTTTTAATGTAATTAATTACGTGACGTGCCGATTGATTAATCTAAATAATCGCATATCAGTTTAGTTTTTTCGATTCGTTCAAACTTTACGAATGAGTCACTAAATCATTGAGTCACTCGATTTGTTTAAAACCATGGGTTCATTTTTGAGTTTGCAAAATTGAGCAAAACATTCAATATTGAAAATATTGTGTCTAAAAGTTGACAATTTTAACTATTGGAATGTTTAAAGTACGTATCACATTTTAAATATTTGAGTGAAAACAAAAACGCACTATTGCTTGAATTGCTAAACTATGCATGATAAAAATGCAAGACAAAAACCCATACGGGGACATTTTTGCACTCGTATCTTAGGTGTTGCACCTCCAAAACTTTCGTTTGGATCAATTTATGTCAGTAGCATAATTAAAAAACTAGTACAGCATCTTGGACCATAGGTTTACACAAGCATGTTACTGTGCCTGAAAAAAAATGTCTGGAAGTTGGACACTGACATTTACTGCAAACAAGTTTCAGTTAGCTTAACGCAGTACACATAGCAAGGTTTAAAAAAAAAAAAAATAATGTAAATAAAAAGAATAGAGCACGCTAGTGTTAGAGGCCTTTTTTTGCTTTTGTTAATTGAATAATAAATAAAAAGAAAACAAATAGGTAGAATACAAAAAGAACCGTGGGTCATGCGTGAGAATCCATCTAGAACAGAAAATGAGTTTATTTATGAATGCCTCTCAAGTGTTAATGCGGTCATGTCAGTGGTGTGTTAATAGTTGTTTTGATCTCTGCAGGATTTCGGAGCTTGTTGAAAGGGAGACGGAGGAGTATCACAAGGCTGATCCTGACCCGTTTGATGACCGCCATCCAGGTGATCATGTCTAACACCCTTACACTGGACAGTGACATTGCTTTACTGCTGTGTTGTCTCCCGGATATAAAAATCATAACTCTGACTTTTTCTTGTTTTGCTCTGAAGGGCGGGCAGACCCAGAGTGCATGCTGGGACACCTGTTGAAAATCTTGTTCAAGAATGATGACTTTATGAATGCGGTAAGGTGGATGCATAATCATGTTGTGTTTTGAATTGTGACTGAACTCACATTTCCATCATGGATTGAATTGAATGCATTTCAGTAGCGAGTACCAGCTCGGTGGTTAACCATGCACAGCTCAACACTTGCACATGCTCACTGGTTACACACTTTATCCATTTTATGTGAATATTGTTATTATAATAATTTATATTATTATTATTATTATAAATGTCCAAATGCCAGTCTTTGTGAGTGTACATGTAAAGAATTGGTTATGTCTTAAGTTAACAGACCGTTTGGAAAATAAAATATTGATGGCAAACATTAAGTCATGCGGGACTTAAGTAAATAAAAGACTAAACTAAAATAACTTTTATGGTCTTGTTATATTTTGTTTGAATAATATTTCTACTGGGTGCTGTGGCGCTTTATATAAAGTGTCTATAAGTAGAGATTTTTGTATCTTGTCTATATGTGAAGGGCTGCTTAAAGTCTCTCTGCAGTCACCAATTTTAATTTTTATAAAAATTTTAATATTGACACCGACAGCATTAGGCATTATATGTACAGATCTGTTTTTTTATCCAAGCTGTTTACAATCGCTGGAGACATAACTGACTGTGTTTACATGAATACTCATCCAGACAGATGTTTTAGTGTGTGTGATCGTTCCAAGAGCGATAAGCCATGAAAGAGAACTCAGTACTTGTGCATTTCTTTATCCCTTCTAAATGCCAACAACTACACAGTCCTGCACACAGAATCCTGCACAGACATTTAATTACCTCAATATGATATTGGATTGATTCATTATTATTGTCACATGATAGATGTCATCCTGTTGCCTGGCCCTACAAATATATTTCGATGCAGTGTATGAACTTATGCTGCTGTAAGTAAGCCAAGCAGCCCTCTTTGGTTTGGCTGATCTTGAGTGTTTGGTTTATTTCTGTGCTTTAATAGCTTGTGAACTCATACGTGATGAGTAGCCGTGAGGTGGCGCTGAACACGGCTGCATGCAGACTGCTGTTGAACATCATGCCTGGCCTTGAGACGGCTGTGGTCTTTCAAGAGAAGGTACTTTGAGCCTTGTATTTCTCTCTTCAGAATCAGATCATGGGTTATGTAGCCTCACAGCTGTGTGTGTGTGTGTGTGTGTCCATGGCAGGAGGGGATTGTGGAGCGATTGTTTAAATGGGCTCAGGAGGCAGAGCAGCCCCTCCGAATCTACGCCACAGGCCTGCTGGCAGGAGCCATGGAGAACCAGGACATCGCCGCCAACTATCGCGAGGAAAACTCTGTACTGGTGAGTCCAGGAGCAATGCACTTCTAAACGCTGGAATAAATCGTCCCATGACACGTGTGCATTAGATCTGTGACAGCCCTGAGTCTTAGCTAGGGGTGTGTGATATGACGATTTTCTGCTTTTGAAGAAATATCGTAATATCGTGCTTAGGGGTGTGCGATATATATCGTCTGTGATAATATCATAATTGTTGTTTTAACTAGTAGTCTAGAAGTTTAGACTAGTGCGCGTACGCATTTAGAGAGTGCTCTTTTGGCTGCATGATTCAGTCTATTAAAATACACTTAGAATGATCACAAAATTCAAGACATGGGGGCAGAAAATGTGTATATTTATATAATTTCATATAGTTAATCAGTATCACACAAAGAGTGCCGTTTCTTTTCTCCAAAAATCAACATGATTTCAAATGTGGTATTGATTTTATACGGTTTAATAAACAAGAAATTCATATTAAGAGATTTACGTTTTAGATGGTGTTTTGTTCCTGAATGAATCAACCGTTTAAATGATTCGGTTCAATCGCAATGACTCACTTATTGAAAGTGAATTGCTGCCACCTACTGGCGGTTTTAATTTCACATTTAAAGTATCTCTTCATTTTTTAAAAAATAATTTCAAATATCAGTATTCTGCATTTTGTTTAAAATATCAAAACATTATTTATGCATTTGTAACTGAGCTTCTAAATGAGCTACATTAAACAGTATGTAAATGCATCTAAATGCCACTTCAGATGCAACTTCTGTGTTTTGTCTGTATTGCAGATTTCATTTGTTTGGGAAACAGCCAAAATATCTTATTATTATTCTAATTAACTGATTAAATGTAAGCATTTGACTCAAAAGATGATGCACAAAAAATTTATTTAAATGCCCATAAAAGGTAAAAATAAATTTAAACTTGTTGAAAAAGATTAATTTCTATCACTGCTGTGAACTGACCAGTACACAGAATATGAAGAATATCAAAAACTTTAGGAGTCCCTAAGATATTAGCACAATAACACACTCGAGCAAAATATCGTCTAATTATCATTATCGATAAAATCCCAGAAAATATCCCGATATCATTTTTTGTCAATATCAGTTGCAGTTCTGGCGCCTCCATCTCAATATACTGCACAACACGACATACATTCACTTCAAATGTTACCTCAGCGGTACGGGACATTGCACTTATTTGCACATTTCATTCATTTCATTAAACATTTCATTCGCATGCTGTTCTGACATGCGCTTTTTCTGAGCGCCAACACATGAAGCGTGCACACTAAAAAACAGTGTTGGACTAAGTTATCTTTATTAAGTTATACTGTCGAAACACACAAGGTTTACATGTAGCTGGTTTACATCAAGTCTGTTTTTGTTGCGTGTTTCAAAGCGAAGCGCACACATTGTTCAGGCGATCAGACTAATGAAATATTCATTTTAATTTATTTTACAGTACAATATGTGGCTATTACTGTCGTTGTTATTATTATTCTATTCTAATTTGTTTGGCTTCCTAAAACCCCAGTGTGAATGTAATTTAGACTGAGACAGTAGATCACAAATAAAAAGAGGGTTGAGTCGCCTTTAAAGTTCAGCTACAAGTCAATTCACTGACTTCTTTCTGATTTTAGTTTTCTTAGTTAAGAATAAGGGTCGGAGCTCTTAATTTTGAACTCTCAAAGTGCATTAGATAGTATAATTTAACTTTAAAATGAACAAAATTTTCATTTTTTCCCAATTCTTCATTTGTCTTTTTTCTTTTTAAATATCGCAATAAATATCGTATTGTGGACTTCATATCACAATAAATATCGTATCGTGAGATTTTGATATCGTTACATCCCTAGTGTAACCAAACAATAGCTGGTCCACTTTTTGACTTTGATAGTAGGGGGAAAATCCTATGGAAGTCTGTTTGGTTACCCACCTTCTTCAACATAACATTTATTTTCAGCAGAATAAAGAAACTCATTCAGGTTAAAATCAACTTGAGAGTGAGTATGCTAGTATAAAAACACTATGACAGATTTGACAGACAGATGACAATTTTTGTGTGAACTATCCCCTTAAACTTAATAAAACGGCAAAACACAAAGTAAAACCACTCGCTGCTCATGACCAAATAGCTTTAATGCAGTTGCTTTAATGTGAATCAATGTATAATTTATACAGTGAAGTGTATATAGTGTTTTATTTTTATATTTGTTCATTCAATATTTTGAATGCTCCTGCTAAATACACCTACTGTACCAGAAAAATAAAGCATGGTTTGATTTATTTGTATATTATGTGTACTTGTAATGTGTATCTTTGTTCATATTTTTCAGTAACAAAGGTAAAATAATAACAAAGATTATCTTCTCCCACTTTGACCGAAATGTCTGCCATTTTTTAAATTGTATATTTTGTAACTTTGTAAGGCTTTGTTTTTATAGTAAAACCTTTATAGTAATAGTAAAACCCACATGACACAGTATCGTGATAAAATCGTGATATTATATCTTATTATATATCTAGTCTTAGCTAAATGAGTGGCATTAACGCAATTATTATTCTTTTTTATTTAAAGCTGTATGGCTTTGTATGTAGAAATTAAGAGTATGGAGTGAATATAAAGATGAAAAAGTATTTATTGTAAGGCAAAATTAAAGAAATTGGGTTTGATACGGATGTCTACAGTTTTTGCTTCTGATCATTGTAATATATGAAGAAGCATAATACATTTATATTTACGTTTGTTACCGATGCAACTTCATATTGCATGAGAGGAAAGACTGAATGCAGTGATATGAAAGAAGCTAAATTAGCACAGCGATGTAGAAAATGTGTTGCCTGCTTCAGTTGCTGATGAGACCTCATTATTTAAAATCATTTGACCTGTCACCATCAAGTTTTCCAGGGATGAGTGCACTAAATAGATGGTAGCCCTAGATAGTGATATTGAATAGAACGGTAGCCCTAGCTACGGTTAATGATGGTTTGATAAGTGTAAATATAAACATGCTGTTTGTGGGCGGAATACAGTCTTCACTAAGAAGCTAAGAATTTTTTTGATGTTTGAACTGATGCTATTAGTGCTATTTAGTGTCCATATAATTGAACGGAAGCTCAAAAATCAGTGTTTGTGTCGCAGGTTCCTTTGATGCTGCAGAGACTGAGGGAGCTTCCGGAAAAGGAGGCAGAGAACAGGAAGGACAGTAAGCGTCCAAGCAAGAGTCTCGCTCCACTGCTGCCCCTGGACGAGGAGGCCGTGGACGGAGAGTTCGCTCCTAACGCTCCTAACTCCGAGAATCACGACTCGAGAAGAACCGACTCTGACGCTGAGCTGCAGCCCGTCTCTGCTGTGAGGAGCGTGGGGAGATGTAACACTGGCATGAAGGGCCTGATGAAGCCCGCTGCAGCACTCCCTTTAGAGATGGATGAAGTGTGCCCGCTCACACCTGGAATAGAGCAGCGCCTCATCCTCCAGTACCTCACCCCGCTGGGAGAATACCAGGAGGTGATTTCAACTTTATATGTAGGAAGACATATTATCATGGTCACATGACGAAATGAAACCATAGGTCTTCTGGGCAAAATAAAAGGTTTTAAAATGTATTTGTTTTGGGCACATTACATGTTAAACAAACTAAAACCGAAAGCACAATACAAAAAAGTCTAAACCATCAGTCAGACGACAGAAGGCATGTAGTAGATTGTTTGTGACAGGTTTTCCAGCAAGGTTTGATAATTTAGAGACCTTAGAAATCGTCCCTCGTACTAAGTTATAACGGTATTACCATGACAAGCCTACTCTCTGAAGTCAGTTTTTTCAGTGATATCATCTCACATACTGGTCATAAGAAAAAAAAAATACAAAATTAAAAAAAAAATAAATTGCCATTTATAAAGTCAGTTAAACTTTGTAGATCAAAACACACGTATTACTGTCAGTGATCATTTAATGGGAGTAATAATGGCCCCAACACCCCCCACATCACCCAGCTTTAGGGGACAGTTCTGAAAATATGTACGCATTTGTCAACTTCAAGTCTAAAGATTCGATATATATCTACCGAATATGCCTTAGAAGTAATGAATACTGAAAAAGTTTTAGAATCTGCAAACATATTTTCCAAACATCAGTTTTATCACCAACAAAAAATAAGCTAAGCTGTGAACAGAATCTGAGTTTGTGTTCAAACACACTTTATTCTGACTCCGTGGTGTTTCTTCCCTGAGTAGTTCCACTTCTTAAGCGGTCTTTAAATATTCAGTGTAATATTTTGCACCTCTCTTTCAGTGCAGGAATAAAATCGTGGTGTTTGCATTTGTAGACAATGGTGCATCTTTCAAGAGAACGTTACTGATCCACATGCCACTCTCCCTTTGGTTTTTTTTTCATGTCATTCCGATTTCTTTGTTTTTACACCTGTGTAAATGTCCTATTTTATTCTATTAGGATGTGTGAAAAACAATCAATGGCAGAACTGCGCTTGACGAGCTTAACGAGTTTTATCCTTGTGTTTGTGTGTGCAGTTGTTGGCTGTTTTCATGCAGCTGGGAGCTCGTGAGCTGCTGATGCACTACATGGACCTCAAACAAACGAACGACGTTCAGCTCACGTTTGAAGCCCTGAAGGTACCTGAAGGATGTCACATGCACCGCAGCTCAAAAGTTTGGACACGCCTGACTGAATGTTTCTCGTGATCACGAAAACCTTTTGATCTCAAGATTTATGCGTAAAAATTAGATTCGAGGACAAATATAAAATGTGCCTACGTGTGATTTGCTTTGTAAAGTTAAAACACCTTTTAGTTAAGGTGCTGTAAGCATTATATTTTAAACTCACTTTTGCCATAAAAATAGCCTTTAAACCCTCTAACTCTAGCACTCTCTATTCTAACTCTATTTTATATATTTATTATAAAAAATCACCCTCTAACACTAGCGTTCCCTATTCTTTTCTATTCTATCTACTTGTTTTATTTTTATTTTTTATATAAAAACCCTTGTGTACTGCGTTAAGCTAACTGAGACTTGTTATAGCACTTGCATATCATTGCTCTTTTGTTAGTTTTGATTGCTTCTATTGTCCTCATTTGGATAAAAGCGTCTGCTGAATGACTAAATGTAAACGTAAAATGTGGAATATATTCATGCTAAAGAATGAGTAGTTTTGTCCTCCTCAACTTTAGACGGGTATATTAATAAAGCTCTTCAGATTTGCACCAAACATACCGTCTGAAACCTCCTGCAAAGCTCCTGAGAAACTCTGCTCCAGTGCACCGAGGGCAGAAGCTGCTTTAAACACAAAGGATGCTCACACCACACATCTTGATGACACCATGATTATTTGACTGATTTTTATTCTGTTCTTGGGTATCGGTTTACTTGTCCTCTCTGTCTTTCAGTATCTTGCGTCTCTCCTCCTTCATAAAAAGTTTGCGGCCGAGTTTGTCTCGCATGGCGGAGTGCCAAAGCTACTGGAGATCCCGCGACCCTCCATGGCTGCCACCGGCGTCTCTCTGTGCCTCTATTACCTGGCATACAACCAGGACGCTATGGAGAGGGTAAGATGCTGTCCTGATACGGTGATCACAGCCAGAGCTCTTCTGTGTCTTACTGTTGTCTGTCTGGTTCCTCCGGCTTTATCAGGTGTGTATGCTGCCGCATTCGCTGCTGTCGGAGGTGGTGAGCTACACGCTGTGGCTCCTGGAGTGCTCTCACGCCTCCGGCTGCTGCCACGCCACCATGTTCTTCTCCATCTGTTTCTCCTTCAGAGCCGTGCTCGAGCTCTTCGACCATCAGGACGGGCTGCGGCGGCTCGTCAACCTGGTATGCACTTCTTTGTGTTTGCATAGGGATCATTACGGTGAGAGAGCTCAGCGCGCTGCAAATACATGCAACACAATCAAAAACAGAAACGCGCTGCAAATAAGCCACAGACCACCTCGGAAATGTTTAAGGGAACTGCAAAGTGATGAACATGGCTGGGACCTATTTATCAATGTTTGCTCTGAAAGGTGAGCTTTTTATTTCAACTTCCTGCTTGTATGAATCCTTATAGCTGCTGCTTTTTGGATATTGTAATCCTAAATAAGCTGTCGAAATACACAATTACTGTAACTGTGAAAGGTTATATAAGCTGGCTAACTTTTACAACTTCCCGTACAAAAATTAACCATAGCCTGTGGTTTTGCTATTAAAATGTATTGATTAATTAATAAATACATAAATAAATTTTTTTTTAAAAAGGTTGCTGTAGTTACACCATGGTAACCATGCATAAATTAACCATGGATTTACTAATATGGCAAAAAAAAAAAAGGGGTTAATTTTCGTTTTGTTGGGATAATTTTGTTGTGGTCTCTGCTACTTTCACGTTTCTTCATTTGTTTGTGTTGTGAGTATTTGCAGCACACGTGCTGTCAAACTGATGAAGCTGTTTTCTTGAATTAGAAAGACAAAACAACAAAAAGAGATACTCCACCCAAAAACACCAGTTACTTGTAACCAAAAACTGTTACTTTCTTCAGTGGAACTTATTTTGAGAAATGTCTCAGTTTTAGTTTTTCTACATGCATTGGAAGTCAATGGGCTCCAGTGTTGTTTATCATACAGGTTTGTAAGCACATGAGGGTGAGTAAATGATGGCAGGACTTTCATTTTTGGGTGGAGTGTCCCTTTAAAGAGAAACGGGTATAGTGAAAGATGAAGGTCAGCCTGGAAAAGGGCTGGTGGTCATTGATAAACTGGGGGTGGTGATGATATGAGGGGAGGCGGGTGCTTTGCTACCAAGTTCATATTTCCAGCCATGCTGATATAGAGCCGGTATCGCTCGAGTATGAGAGTGATATTGCTCATACATACACTACCAGTCAAAAGTTTTTGAACAGTAATATATATATTTTTAAAGAAGTCTCTTCTGCTCACAAGCCTGCATTTATTTGATCTAAAATACAGCAAAAGCAGTAATATTGTGAAATAATTTTACTATTTAAAATAACTGCTTTCTATTTGAATATATTTTCAAATGTATTTTATTCCTGTGATCAAAGCTGTATTTTCAGCATCATTACTCCAGTCTTAAGATGTTGAAAACAGCGGAGTAGAATTTTTTCAGGTTTCTTTGAATAGAAAGTTCAGAAGAACAGCATTTATCTGAAATGGAAATCTTTTGTAACATTATAAATGTCTTAATCATCACTTTTGATCAATTTAAAGCATCCTCTTTTTATTATTATTATAATTTAGAATTCATATTTTTCTATATTTAGTAGTATAAGGCTTATGCGTTTCTTCCTTTGTCCTAAATGGTTTTTGGTGTGTTTAGATTTTGCAAATTGTGTTGGAAGGACAGAATATTTTCCCCTCTCTCTTGTAGTTATGTTGTATGACGTTACCAAAATGTTGTTAAAGGTTTGGGTTTATTTGCACGTACAAGAGTAATAGATGATAAATCTCGATAGTTATTCTAATCTGGTCAAGACTGGTATTGAGACGGATGCAGAGTTTGCCTGAACTCTGCTGTAGTCTGTATGTTTCGTCAGTGTTTAGTACTCTCTGTCCTTCTCACTGGGTGTTTGTGTTTTGTAGATTAGCACTCTGGAGATTTTGAACCCAGAGGACCAGGGCGCTCTGTTGAGCGACGATGAGATCTTCTCAAGCAGACAGACTGCAAAACATACCTGCATGGCGCTGCGCAGGTATTTTGAGGCTCACCTGGCCATTAAAGTCGAGCAGGTCAAACAGTCGCTGCAGCGTACAGAGGGAGGAGCGCAGATTCACCCGCAGCCTTATTACAAGGTACATCTGTTTAACACACTACCGCTGTAATGCATTACACTGCCAGATCCTTACTACAACAGTCACATCACTGTGTGCCTGATTATGTTGTGCATGGTTTGTTGTCTGAAATGTACTTTGTGGTTGTCAGTGTTGGGGTAACGTGAGTTACGTAATCAGATAACTTACATATACATTTTTAAGTAACTAGTAAAGTGACACATTACTTTTTAATTTAGAAGAAAATATCTGACTTTTTCAAATAAGTAACGCCATTTATTTTGTTTTCACATTATTTACTGACAGCTGTCCTGTCCTCATGTTGAGAGAAATCAGGAGTAAGTGCAGAGCGTTGTGTGTGAACATGATCTTACTGTAGTTCTAGACTAAATATCAACATGTGTTTACTCATCTCACTGCACACAAACACATTCAGTGTTCCTCAAAATCAATAAAAACAGTGCAGTGCAACCTCAAAATATGATACAAACCTGCAATAATTAAATGTTAAATAACAGAATAATAAAAAATCCCATTTTATTAACCCATGTCTTTGCTCCTGACCTTCGATGATCCAATGCAACCATACTAATGAACAATTTACTTTAGATAAACAATATTTGTTTCTTTTTTTTATTGTTGAAGAGTGTTGAACTTTCGTCTCCTGAGTGCGTCCTTGTCTTTATGTAATTCAGAATGCGCAACTGAAAGGTTCAAGCAAACCCTTTACTGTACAGACGTGAATTTACATTTCCTTCAGCCTGAGGCTTATTCATTTCACTTTTGGTGTGAATTTCACTTTTACATTTGCCAGCAATATAACTTTTTATATTAAAACCAACAAGCAAGCCCAGCACTGATGAGAAAAAGTAACGCTATAAGGTAACAGTGCATTACTTTCCATAAAAAGTAACTAAGTAATGCAGTTAGTTACATTTTTAGGGAGTAACACAATATTGTAAATGCGTAATAATGTGTACTCATTGTGATGTCCCGTGTTACTTTTCAATGAATTGAGGAATTTAGGAAAGAACTTAAACTTGGAAATCTTGTCAGTTTGTGCAAGGCCTGCTTTGTACGCTAAAAATTAGGTCTCTGGGAATGCTTGTAGATTGTGTTGAAGTTTTAATTCTTTTTTTTTTGTGTGTAAATGTTCGTAGGCTTGCTCCTACACCCATGAGCAGGTGGTAGAAATGGTGGAGTTCCTGATTGAGTTCGGACCGGCGCGTTTGTACTGGGAGCCTGCCGAGTTCTTCCACAAACTGTCCTGTGTGCAGCTCCTTTTGCAGCTCATTTCTATCGCCTGTGACTGGAGAACATACTACGGCAGGTGAGGAACTGCTAAGAGTGGTGTGGGAGTAACAGATGTAAATGGAGCCTCGCAAAGTTACTTTGATGCAACAAGTTATTTTGTTTGTTTTGCTGTAAACATAGTGATGGTAAAACGAATCTTCCTGTCCTGTCAGCCGCTATTCTGTGCTCGTAACGCGTGCTGTGCAAATGTCAGATCTGCGTCACGTTCAGCAGCGGCAGCTCTTAAAGTAATAGCTGCCAAATAAACTAATAACCAGCTGCTGTGATGACCGTTCATCAAAGAACAAAAGAAAAAAGGAAATCAATAACTTTTGTAGCTTTAAGGATTCATATATATTTAATTTAGGATTTAGTGTTTGATAACTTTATTCAATTTCTGTCTATTTCCTACTTGCTGAAGGGCACAGGTAAATATGACATTTATTATAATGGGTTTATGTGAAGATTGTTTGAAGTTCACTTAAATTAGTTATTTTTTTAAAAGTCTAATAAATGTTCAAATTGATAGCTCTCATTTATACTGTAATGTTGAATGGCTATAGTCAATGGTTAAATATTAGGAAAAAAAGAAATTTCCGAGAGACATCAGTAGTATTAGTATCAGTGATACTCGCCTTTAAAATATAAATATATATATAATATATAGTCTTTATTTCTACATTAATTTGAATATTGAATGTGAAATGCAATGTAAAAGTATATTTAAAAACAGTAATGTTAGGTGGGAATAATCGCTATTAATTTCAGAAAAAAATGTGCCATTTAATTAATTTCGATTTATCTAATTAAGATGTCTCAAAGGCTTATGTTTGTTTGTTTTCATGCACAGCACTTTTTGTTGGGAACGCTTAATCGTTATAGAACTGATAATGTGAAATTCCGTTATATCGCCCGCCCCATGCTGAAGTATTCATTTCTTGTGATACTTGTGTACGTGATTTTAACCTTTTTTAAAAACATTTAAATCATTACTAAATGCACATTTTTTTCTGGTGAATGTGCGTTTTAGGGCTGACACCGTGAGGTACGCTTTGGATATCTTGAGCATTTTGACAGTCATTCCTAAAACGCAGCTGCTGTTGTCGGAGAACGTCGCTGTGCTGGATGAGAATGGCTCCACCATCTCCACTGTTGGTGAGAATCTGCTGTTCTGGTGATAATGTACTTGGAAAAACACATGGACAGTGTTGCTTCTACTTAAACAAGCCCATCTTCATGCACTTACGTTCTAAAATATGTAGCAGGAGTTATTTTAACCATTAACAGTCTCCCTGAATAGTAACATGTCTAGTTTAATGGCATAGACATTTGAGGGAAACTTATCACACTGTGCTTAACCCTGGGTCATTTTCTGTTGAAATCCTTCATAACTGAAGCAGTGTTTCACGTCAGTTTGAAAGGGGTTCACATCACTTAACCCTAGGCTATGACAGCCTGCACTAGAGCGGGGCATTTAGAAAGGATTCAGTGTACAAGACCAAACTATGATTGAATTAAATAAATGTGAGTGCTTTTCTACAGGCTTGTTGTTTCAGAGCTGTTCAAAATCAGTGAATACTACATATCTCTATTGATTGCTTATGATGTACTGGTAATGAATTATATATAAGAAATAGCATAAATAATACTGTAATATGTTGTAGATAGTTGTAAGAGTGCATGTTTTATCTCCTTTTTTAGTGAACCGTAAAGCCTGATGCTCCAGAAGGAGAAACCATGCATTAAGAGCCGGGGGTGAAAACTTTTGAACAGAATGAAGATGTGTAAATTTTCCTTATTTTGCCTAAATATAAATTATTTTTTTTTTCAGTTAGTGTTGCCCTTCAGAAGCTACAGAAGATACATAAGACAAAATAAGTTCAGTTTTCCCCGATCTTTAAATTTAAGAAGTTTTCACTTCCAGGCTCTTAATGCATTGTTTACTTTTGAACTATTATTTTCTCTTGTGGACTATATGTAAACGTCTTTCATGCGAAATATCTTATTCAGGTCAGTACTAAATAAAAAATAACATGCGTTTTGTATGATCCCTCTTATTTTGATAAAATAATTAACATTTTGCAGATACTGCAAAGTGTATGTAAAATTGACCACAACTGTATGGTGAATAAAGCATGATTACTTTCAACTTGAAAGTTACCCTGATTTTCAGTTGAATGTGTGCTCCAGTATGTTTAATTAAATGACAGCGTTTTTTTTTTTTATGTGAGATGCATGCATTATTTTAAGGTTGTTTGGAAACTATACCCTCGATAAGTGTGTGTTTGTGTTCTGCAGGTATGAGCATAGTGCTGGTCGTCGCAGAGGGTGAAGTATTTGTAAATGACGCAGAAATCCAGAAGTCGGCCCTGCAGGTGATCATAAACTGCGTCTGCGCTCCAGACAAACGCGTCTCTAGCATCGGCAAGTTCATCTCGGGCACCCCGCGTCGCCGTCTGCCACAGACCCACCGCGCCAGCGAGAGCGTCCTGGTCAAGATGTGGAACGTGGTTCAGTCGAACAATGGCATTAAAGTCCTGCTGTCCCTGCTCACCATCAAGATGCCCATCACCGATGCCGATCAGATTCGCGCTCTGGCGTGCAAAGCCCTAGTTGGGTTGGCACGTAGCGCCGCGGTGCGACAGATCATCAGCAAGCTTCCGCTGTTCAGCAGCGGACAGATCCAGCAGCTGATGAAAGAGCCTGTGCTTCAGGACAAGCGCAGCGAGCATGTGCGCTTCTGCAAGTATGCAGCAGAACTCATAGAGCGAGTGTCCGGAAAGCCGCTGCTGATCGGCACAGATGTTTCCCTGGCGCGGCTGCAGCGGGCTAGTGTCGTGGCACAGTCACGCATTTCGTTTCCCGAGAAGGAGCTTCTGTTGCTTATTCGGAATCATCTTATGTCTAAAGGTCTCACAGACACAGCAACAGCACTGACGAAAGAAGCCGAGCTGCCCATGGGGCTGCATGCTCTGGCTCACGCTAGCGTGCCGCCGTTCACTCCCGTTTCTGTCGCGACGCCTCCTTCACCCGCCGCTGGCATCCCACGGACTCCTCGGCTCACTAACGGAGTCGCGGCCCGTCTGGGTGGCCACACCCCCCACGTGCTTCCTCTTCACCAGCCCCGCCCCTCCACCTCACAGGCTCCGCCCCCTCCACCGCCTGCAGTCTCCCACCACAGTAATGGCTCTCCGCTCATCGGACGCATAGTGTTCTCGCGAGAGCGGCCGTCACCGTGTGCAGCTGCGGGAGGGAAGAGGCCAAAAGTGTTGCGGCAGAAATCTGATCATGGTGCTTTCAGCCAGAGTCCGGCCATGAAAAAGCAGCTGGACAGACATCTGCCCTCTCCACCAACTCTAGACAGGTGTGCCTCCCTTCATTCAGACTGTCGTTTCATACCCAAGTTTTTAAGCCCATGTCAAGTTAGGATGTCTGCATTGTACTGTGAAAGCATGCTGTAACTCTTTGAACTAGAAAGTTCCTCCATGCTGCAAAAAATTTGTTGTTGCAAAAATGACTCCATGAGTTGAGTCTCAAATGAGTTGAACACATGACTGCCCTTGTTGGTAATCAGCAACTTTGAGAATAGGTACTGTTAGTCTTAAACAAAAGGTTCTCCCAAAAATGAAAATCGTCATTAATTGTTTTCTTCGAAACACAATTGAAGATATTTTTAATATTTTTGCATCATTTTTGTTCCTCCATTGAAAGTCCACACAACCAAAATGTTCACACAACAAAAAGTTGATATGATCGCATTTTGATCCAGGTCTTCTGAAAAAATAGGATCACTTTACGCAAGGAATGGGTTTAATTTAGGCTTTTTTATTATATAATAAACATTGATCTACATGCATGCATAGAGCACATCAAATATGGTAAACAGTTCTTTTTTTCTTTTTCTTTTTTTTCTGTTGAAACTAACCCATTGCTTTTTCTGTCAGTTGTATGTTACTGAACAGTGACTCTATCCAATAAAATGTGTTGAGCTTGCATAAAAATAATTATTAGATGACACTGTGAAAGTAGGCACTATTATTTCTGAACACTGGAAGCAATGTGTAAAATCTGTCAAACCATGTGTGGTTACTTGCTTTTGTAGCACTTGCTGCTTTCCATATCCTTCCGAAGAATTCCCACATTTAAAACATGAAGTTTTGGGGGGGACACTCATATTTTGGCAGTTGAGTTTGGTGTTAATGTATTATGCATAACTGTGTCATGTGTTCTCATTTCCAGTATCATAACCGAGTATTTACGAGAGCAGCACGCCCGCTGCAAGAACCCAGTGACCACATGTCCTCCCTTCAGCCTCTTCACACCGCATCAGTGCCCAGAGTCCAAGCAGAGACGCCAGGCACCCACCAATTTCACTCCTCGCCACACACGCAGGGTCGTCTACCCCAAATACGGTGGGGTTGATGGAGGCTGTTTTGACAGGCATCTCATCTTCAGCAGGTACAGTTACACTGATCACACTGATGCTTTGATCAGATATGAAAATATGAGTCAGTCAGTAGTAGAGAAGTAACGATTACCGGTTTGACGATAAATCATGATAAAAGTCCCCACGGTTAGTATTACCGTTTCATATTTTAAGTAAACCTGTAAAGTTCATATATTAAGTAAACCCATTAAAACCGTATTCGATTACTGTGATTTGAACAACTCCGGATTAATAAATACTATCCAGCACAGTTTTAAGTAACAGTCTCACATGTGCACAGCACGCAGAGTAGTTGCGTTTTGCGTGAAAACATGGCGTAAAGCTGGGGCCCTGCTGTAAATTTTGACCGGTTGATGAAAAACAAGCTTATGTGGATTCTACACATTTAAACAATTCGGATATAGTGCATATAATCATTTATTAATCAGTTATCATTGTGACTTAACCCTTTTCTTTATTTAAAGGCTGAAATGTGAGGTTTACCATTTTATGAAACCTTTTCAAAGTTTTATTTGAACATTTCCTACATGTTATTAGATTAACTTTTGTCAGTCATGTTGTCATTTAAAATCCGTACATCATTGATAATGTTTTTTTTTTTTTGGTGGTGTGTTTGTTTTAGTCATTTTATTTGTTGTTTGTTGATTTTTAAATATAAAGCTTGGTGAAACGATTGTCAGTACCTTTTGAACATTTCCAGCACATTTTAACAATACCGTGATAATTTTGTTTACTGTAATCGTGATAAGAAATGTTCATACCGGTACATCTCTAGTCAGTAGCCAAGTCCAGCACGGTCCTATCTGTGTTGTTTGTTAATGTTGTTGTTGTTATTAATGAGTTAAGCTCTTTTTCGCCATCTTGAGTTTCATCTTGCTAATCGAGTGCTGTTTGTGACCATGTGTGCAGGTTTCGGCCCATCTCTGTGTTCAGGGAGGCTGAGGAGGATGAGAGTGGCTTCATGTGTTGTGCGTTCTCAGCGCGAGAGCGTTTCCTGATGTTGGGCACATGCACCGGACAGCTCAAACTCTACAATGTGTTCAGTGGACAGGAGGAAGCCAGCTACAGCTGCCACAGCTCAGCCATCACACACCTGGAGCCCTCCAGAGTAAACACACACACACACACACTCACTCATGCATCTCGAGTTCTTCAACTTTCTCGGCCCAGGGCTCTAATACAACAACATGCACTGTACAAAAAAAAAAAGTTGACCTAACTCAAAAAAATAAGGCAACCTATCGCAACTTAAAAACTTTAGTTCATCTAATGGTTGTTAATGAAAAGTCAGTCTACTGAGTGTTAAAAGATCTGTTAGAGCAACCAAATATTTTTTTAGCATTTATAATGCTAATCTTACTTTAAGATTTGTTTATTTTCAAATCCTTCTACATAATATGGGTAGTATTGGCCTCTTTACACTAAAGGCAAGCATTTATGCTGATAGACAAATGTATTGATTTGCAATGAGATGCACATATACAGTACCTCAGCACATGATTCTCAACCATGGTGAGGGTCAACAAATGTTAAATTAGTAAAAATATGAACTCTGATCCACATGACAGCTAACTGTTCGCTGTCCGGTATTGTGAATGTCTGTTGATGTCTACCTCCTTTGCTACGTGTGTTTTCCTGGTTCCCTTGATATAATTGAAATCCCCTTATTGATGTACTCCTAGTCTCCTCGTTCCTCGCTCTGCGCTCCCTCACAGTAGCACCGTGACAGCATGCTGGGAACTTGTGCAATATTGTTCAATGTAAAATTGTTTGTTCAGATGACTCGATTTGAAAAGTTGGGAGAACATTTGGATATGTTGTGAACAAAATACTTGAGTATCTAAGTAAGGTAAACAAAACAACTTTTGCTGGCGACATGTTTAGAGTATTTTTGTTCAGTTCACACAAAAAATGAAACTGACTTCTACTAAAAATTCTTTGTTCGGGCTACTTTTTTACATTGGTTAGTATAACTTTTTGAAAGTTGGATTTGTTACAGTGTGCTTTTAGTTGTGCTTTAACACCTTTCAAAAAGTACCCTGGCTATGATAGATTCTGCCTGTTGTTGCATGTGAGTTTTGTGGTTATATAGTTGGCCTATAATTGCAGTATATATTGGTATTTGGTTGGCATGGTCCAGTAAGGCAGAGCTTGATACACTGAACGCTTTGGCAGATCAAGTGATTCATGCACATCTGATGGTGTTTTTCCTCTTCGTAGGACGTAATTCTGCATAAAAGCTGCTCTGACCCACATCAGCCATTAGTATCAAAGTTTGCAGTTGTAATTGCTGTGTAAATGCGTTTTTACGGTAGATGCTGATATATTGTCTGTGTGTCAGGACGGTTCCCTGTTGTTGACTTCAGCTTCCTGGAGTTATCCTTTATCTGCGCTGTGGGGTATGAAGTCCGTATTCATCATGAAGTGAGTCAGCATGCTCATAAAAACGAATTGTTAAAGACTTGAAATTAATATTTTTTGATCATTGATCACCCCTTTTTTTTCTAGGCATTCATTCCTGGATGATCATTATGTGGAGTTCAGCAAACTCTCTCAGGACAGAGTCATAGGAACAAAAGAGCACATCGCACACGCAAGTCACCCTTTTACTCGGTTTTGTGTTTGTTGTTTTCCACTGACCTTCCGATTTAGAATATCAGCATATCAATGTGTTAAATAACATGCAGTTTTTATGATCCTTTTATGATTGTTAACGTTTTGTGGATTCTGCATGGTGGATGTAACTTTATGACCTCAGCTGTGTATAATAATTATGTTCCAGCCTGTTGTCATGCATCTTTGTGTATTTCTGCAGATATATGACATTCAGTCTGGACAGAAACTCCTGACCCTCAATAACCCTGACCTAGCCAACAACTACAAGCGCAACTGTGCCACGTTTAACCCCACGGATGACCTGGTCCTGAACGACGGTGTCATGTGGGACGTCCGCACCGCTCAGGCCATCCATAAGTTTGACAAGTTCAACATGAACATCAGCGGCGTTTTCCATCCCAATGGTTTAGAGGTCATCATCAACACGGAGATTGTATCCTTTTCTGCTCAGCGAACCACTGGCTGTGGCTTGTTATTTGATGATGATGTTGTTTGTTTTCTGATTCTTCTGTTGTTGTTAATGAGATTTTAGTTAATTTGGTAATTACTTAATTAACAATAGTTCATTATTTATTGTACAAAAGGGTGCTAGGATGTTACTGGGATGAAGTGTTAATGAGATGTTTAAAGGGTGAACCTCTTCTTGCTGCATTGTTTCTGAAACGGTTTGCTTTAACTCGCGCTCCAGTGGGATTTGAGGACGTTTCATCTTCTTCACACAGTACCAGCACTAGATCAGTGTCGGATTGTCTTCAACAACAATGGAACTGTCATTTATGGAGGTGAGACGCGCACGCGCATGTTTCTTCTCTCTCTCACACACACACACACACACACACACACACTCACTCTCGCACACACACTCACTCTCCCTCTCACACACACACTCACTCTCCCTCTCACACACACTCGCACACACTCTCACTCACTCTTCTGTAAATTGCGTGCTCTCTTGCTTCGGATGAGATGTCTGTTGCATGTCGATGTCATGGCATTTTGCTGATGTTCTGGAGTGTGTTGTAGCCATGTTGCAGGCTGACGATGAGGATGACATGATGGAGCAGCAGATGAAGAGTCCATTCGGATCGTCCTTCAGGACCTTTGATGCCACTGATTATAAACCCATCGGTATGATTATATCTTCATTCTCTCTTCTCTGCATCTCAGTTCATATATATTCAGCTTTTGTAAAAGTTGCAGAGAATGTTTGATATCTCTGTCAAAATATGTATTTCTGTAACTAACAATTAAGCAGACAGATGCATCTAGTAAGTTATGCACTTGTAAAGGAACTAGACATTTGTCTTTACAATGGAGAGACAAATTTAAAACGGTTCGATTAGTAGCATGGCACATGCTTTGAAAATGACCTAAAATGTGTCTGTAACAAGGTTTTTGTAAAGATTTTTGTAAGATGGTGAAGCTGATGAAGATCTTGATAGTCTGTTTGCTTTCTCAGCCACCATTGATGTGAAGAGGAACATTTTTGACCTGTGCACAGACACTAAAGACTGCTATCTTGCTGTCATTGAGGTATGGTGTGTTTTTATTTTTATTTTTTTTTGATTTGGTTAGCTAGTTATTGTGTTATGCCAATAATACCTTCACTCTGGGACTTTGTACTTAATTTTTTTTTTTTTTTTCTTGTTCAGTTTAACAACATTGAATAAAAAATGTAAATATCTTTACAGTACTAAATTCTACAAAGCTACGATTCTACTTTTATTTGAACACTGCATCCATGTCATATGTGACCCTGGACCACAAAACCAGTCATAAGGGTCAATTTTTTGAAATTGACAATATTTGGCTGAGATACAACTATTAGAAAATCTGGAATCTGAGGGTGCAAAAAAATCTAAATATTGAGAAAATCATCTTTAAAGTTGTTCAAATGAAGTTCTTAGCAATGCATATTACTAATCAAAAATTAAGTTTTGATATATTAACGGTAGTAAATTTACAAAATACCTCCATGGAACATGAAATAAAGTAAAGTAATATTAACTTGGACTTAGTATCCTAATGATTTTTGGTATAAAAGAAAAATGGATAATTTGGACCCATACAATGTATTGTTGGCTATTGCTACAAATATACCTGTGCTGCTTATGACTGCTTTTGTGCTCCAGGGTCACACATATTCATCTTGTACACCAAAACTCTGTGTTATGTATGAATGTGTGTTACAGAATCAGGATTCAATAAATATGGACACTGTGTGTCGGCTGTATGAAGTCGGTCGCCAGAGACTAGCTGAGGAGGAAGAGGATGAGGAAGATCAGGTGAGACTGATGCAAACCACATCATTTATGTTTTAACCGTTTGTGTGTAGCAAACTGAATTACGAACTCATTAATTGTGTGATATCAAAACAATTTTAACTATTAGCTGTGGAAGCTTTTGACCAGTCATTGCAGTGTAGCCTAAATAGTTAAAATGTAATAAGAGAATGTATTGACCTTCGCTATCAGTGGTAGAGGCCGACCGATATATCGTTTTGCCGATTTTATCGGCCGATATGAGCCTATCGCAGATATATCGTATCGGCGAATATGCCACCGATATGAATGTTTTTTTACAGAACATAAAACGCAGATAAAATGCTTGTAAATGGTGTAATTACTTAGTTTTGCTCCATTGTTTGCTACTGGCGACCTGGATGAAACGCTTTAAAGCTTAAGTGTATGGAATACCATTGAAACTTTGAGCGGCCATATCTCCGTAACGGCGCAGAGAATCCGCACCAAATTCGGGGATCCCTTCAACTCGAGGAACCCTCTTGAACGCCGAATTGAGTGTACGTCTTGAGGCCCCCTTTCGAATGAGACCACCCTCGCGTCGATAGCCCCCGGGGTCCGGGAAGTATGGGTGGAGATCCGCCGGCGCGTTCGCGAGATAGTGACACCAGCCAACACTTTCACTTCAGTAAGGAGGTCTCTTGTTCAGGCAGCAGCATTCAAGCGTGGTCTTATTCGACCGTAAGTGCCCTGCGAAGTGGACTTCACATGATATTCCGCCATGATTCCAGTTCCAAGGGAACGTACACGTTACATTCAAAGGGCATTAAAGTGCGCGTGACGTGAATTTAAATTGTATTTATTTACAGAGGTATAATATTTCACACTTCTCTAGTAAGTTTCGTCTGTGTGTGAAGACAGTAGCGCAAATCTGTGAATGAATGTTCTGAAGTGAAATAAAGTTGAATAAACTTCAACTTTACTGTTGAAGAAAAAACCCATATCGGTCGGGCTCTAATCAAGGGGTTGTTCTTTGTTATGAAAAATAATATAATATAGGTTTAGAAAAGTTATGAAAAGAGTATATATATAACTATAAAGCATCTCTACAGAAGGCAATAATGTCATTATTCAGCTCAAGGTGTGCACTGAGAACCAAGTATGCAATGAAAGACTTGATGTTCATTTTAGTTTATGACCACCTTCACCATTCTTTTGAGAGAATTTAAAATGAAAATTTGCAATGTCTACAAAAAAATGCCTCTTCTGCTTGTGAAATGCACTGCATGGTACCACTCAAACTTAAGATCCGACTATATTGAGGATGTTGTTCAATGGCTTCAGCTGTTACTTCTGACGCTGGGATTGTTCAGAAGCTTATGCAGAGCCGCAGGTGCTACACAGAGCTGCAACAGTTTGACAGGTTTATAGTTTTTCTGGAAATCGGGAATAAGAGGATCTGCTCTTCTTACATCAGTGAGGCTGCTCACTTTAAACTTGATCATAAGACGTTTGTTTCATTCAGGAGGAGGATGATCAGGATGAAGAGGATGACGATGACTCCGATGATGACATGGATGACATCGATACCGACCCGCTGCTGGCAGAGCTGGAGAACGAGAACAACGGAGAGGAGGAGGATGGCGAGCAGGACTTTTCTCCGTCTGATGATGAGGAAGTGGCTCGCCTGCTGGATGAAGAGGCGGATGATGATGAGGATGACGACACTCTCTCTCTCTCTCTCTCACACACTCATACACACTCTCTCTCTCTCACACTCACACACACTCACACTCTCTCACACACACACACACACTCTCTCATACTCACACTCACACACATACTCACACTCTCTCTCACACACTCACACTCTCTCTCTCACACACTCATACACACTTTCTCTCTCTCTCACACTCACACACACACACTCTCTCGCTCTCTCACACACACACACTCACACTCTCTCTCTCTCACACACACACACGCAGACATGCTGCTCACTGCAGAAACCCCACGCAAAACCTTTGATTTCTATCACACACGTGAGCTCAAAAGAAGTTAAATGAAAAAATAACAAACAATACTGGAGAAAAGTCTCATGCTTTATAAAACAGGAACATTGCCTTGTTAATGAGAGATGTGTGTAATCTTGTGGTGAGAGAGGTGAGAGCTGCCTGCTCCCTACTTGAGCTCATGGTGTCTTCTGTGCAAGTGTATTTAAATGATAAATTAATCTTTTTATTAAGAATTAAGTGTTACAATTATGTATGCATCAATATGGAATTTAGCACCAGTAGCATATAAACAACTTGGTGTGACCTTAATTAACTAATTAAGCAAGTCACTGGAAATCACATTTTCTCAAATGAAGACTAGCTATCACTAATAATATATACAGTACATGCTGAATTATGACATAGCCAGTTTGAAAATACATGATTTAAAGTTGCTCTCTCAGGCATGTCCATTAATTTTTTCAGGCTTGTTTAAATGACATAACTGCGTGTTTATTGTATACCAACCGTATATTATAATGCTTGCCTTTTCTTATTAAACAGGACCGTTAACTCTTACCCCATCAGCATTTTAAAAAAAAAGTTGTCATCAGCATTTTTGATCATGTTCACAAAACTTTCATGGCTCACAGAATATTTTGATGTATGAATATCTGAACGTGCAATAAATCAAAAGAATGAACAGAGCTTGTGCGATATTAAATACGAATGAAAACACAAAGCCATAAAAATTCCATCAATGGCGGGGAGAGTGTTAAAAAGGCTAATGGAGAGGGAGAAAGGGAGCTTGAAACCTAGAAGCAAGTTAAAGATTAACTTCCAGGGTTTCACTGCAACGATGCTCAGTGGCATCAAAATAAAAGCTCTGCTTTCCACTTAGTTCATACATTTTTGTGACTGCACCATCAAAGTCATTCCAGTAGGAGTTATTTTACACCACGCAGATTGTGGTCATGTGAGTTTAAATGACTTCTGTGTGAGCTGTTCTTTATTCATCTCAACACTAGTGACAATGAGCAATAGGCCTGTTTGCATGTCAGATGTCGCTGAAATCTCGCTAATGTGACCGCACTTATATCATCTAATCACCAGCAACGAAGATGAGTTTTTCTGTTTAAAGTCATATGTGATATATCGATCAACCAGTATTGTTGACAGCTACTGTTAGTGCGCTGACGTGAAGTTTTTGCTGCTTTTCTTTCATTACTGTCATTCATTTTCTTGCGGTTTTAGTTTTTCTGAAACGTTGTTCTTCCTGTAGCAGACAGCTCCGATAACTCCGACCTGGAAGATGACATCATCCTCTCCCTGAACGAGTGATCCTCAAGTGCTCCGTGAGAAGATCTGAGAGAAATGTCACCGGAGGGCAGCAGCTGATGAGTGTCAGGTCGTGGTGTTGGATGGCCCATGTGCACGCTGCCCCAAACATGACATCTACGCACCTGCAGGAAAATTGTAAACAAACATAGTTTTATATAAGGACATCTCATATGAAACTAATGTAATTTGTCTGATGTTTGTTTTTGGTAAAGTTTTTTCTACAACGTTGCCCTCTTTGAATATCGGATCATTTTAAAGAACTTGTACTGATGGATTTCGAGAGGGTGGCATCCTTTCAACACTTGGCACATGTGCACCCGTGTTGCATTCATACATTAGCGTGTTTTGTGTTGTTTGACTGCTGTCGAGAGGGGTTCTGGGTAGCTCCGATACACTGTTTGCATGCGCAGATATGAACGTCTGGATGTGTGTATGCTCTCGACCTTTGACCTGCCCAGCACTCCTCAGGTGATCTCGAGTTTGATTTCATCTAAGCATCTGAAAATCTAGTTGCTTAGACGTTTAGTTCATCCATTTTTGCTTTTTGAATGGTAGTTTTGTTAGCCATTGCATCTGTTTCATTTTACAAGAAAGCGCTTTTAAGGCCCTTTTTGTCGGCTGATTGGATTGAGATGTTGCACCACATTTAATGAGCAATAATTTCCGTTGATTTATAAATTCACATAAAGGACTGTGAAGGCCTGTGGTACCTCTGACCTGTGCTCAGATCTGCAGCGGTGTTGGCTTCTCTTTTGGAGGAAGTTAACCGCTGCCCTTGCAGATGCACCTGTTTGCTTCTTAAACTGCTTTTCACGTGAAGTTAAACATCTTTAAGCATCTGTGTACAGCCTCCATTTACTTTATGGTTTAACTTTTTTGTTCATGCCTTTCCAAAGTAAAGATCTAAGGCAACATTGTGTACAAAATGTATTAAAAATATTTTTACTATAAATGTTATTACAATAAATCAGAGTAAATTGTTGCTTTGTGTTAATATTTTTTTTTTTGACATCCGTTAGATTAACAAAGCTGTCACTGTCATCAATCTCTGTTCACCATACATCTGAAAATACTGGTTTACAGTTATTACTTTCACTCTCAATTTGACTAAAACCTTTGCCTGTTGTAGTTTTATCTGCCTGGATCTCTTGCATTTAATCCACTCAACTTGTTTTAAGGTCTTTTGGACTTAGTTTTTTCTCACCTTTTGTACTAACAAAACTAGACATAGTCAGCATCGCCTGTTTGGGGCTATGTATTCAATTATTTGACACTTAAGCATATTAAACGTATAAATATTTGAATTATGTAAAAAAAAAGTCACATAAAAAAAAAAAATATATATATAGGCTATATAGCAAGCAAACATTTCACCCAAATCAATTCAGGTTACATAATATGATGCAATGCATATATTGTTCAGAATGTCACATTCTACTAGGACACCTGTGTGAACTTCAGGGGAAATGAAGACCCATGAAACTGATTCTTTCCCCTGATTGTAGTGGTGAAAGATTCAAAGCATCAACAAAAGCGCTGTCTGCTGGCTCATATAATGCACACCTGTCGCAAAGCCTAGAAAAGTAATGCTTTTTTCTTTTCTTTTTTTTATTAGTTGAAAATTTGTCTAAAGGATTACATTTTTAAGTGGAAGCCTTTGGCCAGTGGCTTGTGCATTTTACTAGCAGCATTATGAATTTTTACAAAAGTGGGCAATGTGAATAATAATCATGAACTACTCTAAATCAATTTTGCAATCTACCAGAGGGAAGACGTCAGATAGCACAAAAACCCAGTTATTGAGACCGTATTTCCAAAAAAGGCAAACAATTTATAATAATTGATGTAAAATTTGTTGATATTGTACATTGATTTGTTTAAATATAAAATACAAACAATAAAATTCAACCAACATTAAGCAGGTTTTCTTATATGTAGGAAGGGGGCCTTCAATGGTTGGGAATGCTGCTCTATATCTCAATATTTGTAGAGTAAATATAAAAAAAAAATAAGTACTCATGTTATGATATAACTGAGTAATAAAAATAATATTCAGAAGTAAGTAACTACAGTGCTGTAAAAAGGTTTTTGCCCCCTTCCTATTTTTTGCATATTTGTCACACTTAAATGATTCAGATCATCAAACTAATTCTAATATTACACAATGATAATGCAAGTAAATACAAAAGGCAGTTTTTAAATGATGATTTCATTTATTGAGGGAAAAAAGCTGTCCAAACCTAACTGGCCCTACGTGGAAAAATCATGTTAAATCATTAAAGAACTGTGAGCACTATTATCCACAAATGGAGAAAACTTGGAGCAGTGGTGAACCTTCCCAGGATCGGCTGGCCAACCAAAATTACTCCAAGAGCGCAACGACGACTCATCCAGGAGGTCATAAAAGAACCCAGAACAACATCTAAAGAACTGCAGGCCTCACTTGCCTCTATTAAGGTCAGTGTTCATGATTCAACAATAGGATAGAGACTGGGCAAAAATGGCATCCATGGGAGAGTGCCAAGGCAAAAGCCATTGCTGACCAAAAAGAACACAAATGCTCGTCTTACATTTGCCAAAAAACATCTTGATTATCCCCAAGACTTTTGGGAAAATATTCTGTGGACTGATGCGACAAAAGTTGAACTTTTTGGAAGGTGTGTGTCCCGTTACATCTGGCATAAAACCAGCACAGCATTTCATAAAAAGAACATCATACCAACAGTCAAACGTGGTGGTAATGTGATGGTCTGGGGCTGCTTTGCACCTTCAGGACCTGGACAAGATCCCAAACACACCAGCAAGTCCATCTCTGAATGGCTCAAGAAAACGTCTCCGGTTACACATGGAACCATGGTCCCCGAGAGGGAACGAGACAAGGCACCCCCTTGCCATGCCTTCGGCCTGCCTGTTTGCGTCTCCTTCAGACAGCTAAGTGGATGAGGTATTCAGCAGGTGTCCTTTTATACTTTCGGGCATCCTGCCTATGACGTAATGGGCCATGTGGACCAATAGATTGGCGTTGTTTCACACATGCTTTAGACACCGGTCATGCAGGCTGCATTCCCCAATGTGCCCCCTAGGGGGCGCAGCGTCTCGTTCCCTCTCAGGGAACCATGGTTA